CGTGAAATCGAATTTGAAATTAATTTGATCCCCGATTCCGCTCCTATCTCGAAGGCACCTTACCGCATGGCACCGTTGTAACACCCCGCGTCTCCGATAATTTAGTTTTTCATTAATTAGCATCTATTTAATTAACATGATTTTATTTCTTATGTGCGTTTATTAGTTTAAGATTTTATTTATGTGATAACCGGTGAAGTTTCATATAGAATGCATTAATCCGAAATAATTTTGGACGAATTTAAATTGATCATCTTAGTTAATTATTAATCTAGAAATTAATTATACTCCTTTATTTGCTAGAACTTATTTGTTAGGAGAATTTTAAATCACATATTTTCTTAAATAAAAATAGAAAATTCCTCCTATTCATCCCTCAATTTTGACCATGGTACAACACAAGACCAAAATTTTCCTTTAGTACAACCCTTCTCTAGGTGAGCCCATGTACATTAAGATTTTCCTTTTGAATTTCTTTTTTTAATAGTTAAATGAAATTGCAAAGAAGTCCCTCTAGATAATTCCTAAGTTTTCCTAAATTGCAAAAAGGTCACTCTTCAATTCTTAATCTTTAAGGTTGCAAGTCCCCCACTACTCTATAAATAGAACCCAAGCATTCATCTATTTTCTCATATTCTCCACACATCCTAAAGATCAAAGATCAAAATCTCTTTCTCTTCTCCTCCATTTTCGAAATTAGTAGTGTAGGAAAGCCCCAAAATCTCTCTTTCAAGAGTAAAATTCTTGGCCAAAGGAGTAAGTCTTCTTCCTCTTCTTTCTTTTCTTCATTTTCGAAAAATTCAAGAAGCTAAGCTTCTCCTTCCTCTTTCTCTAAAATTTCTTTTTCTTCTCCTTGTAGAAAGGAAAGAACACCCTTCCAATTTTCTAAGAAGATTAAGGTGAGAATTCCATATTCTTGCTACAAGTGATTCTTCACCAATATTATTTCTTCTTTCTCTTTCTTTGTTCTTAATGGCCGAAAATTTGGGAAGTTATAGTACTTTGCTTGTTTATTGTTAGATGATCCATGCATGTAATGATCGAAGCTTTAATTGAAATAATCTTGAAGAACTGAGAATAATATGATAATTTATTTTTTATGTATGTATATGTATATATATATATATATATATATATATATATATATATATATATATATATATATATATATACTAGACCTGCGTGATCTTAAGGAAACTTCGATCCATGGTTTTCGTAAACCTGCGTGGTCGAAGAAAGTACTTGATCCATGGTTTATTTATAATCTCTACGTGCTATATATATAAGTATATGTTTCTATGTGTATATATATCGACCTACGTGGTTGTAAGCGTACTCCCTCCGGGTCGAGGAAGCTTACGATCCATGGTTTCTGATCTATGAGTAATAAGATAATATACAAAGATAAAAATCGAGAACAAGATTAATAAAAATTTAATTTTGTGTGATTGAATTGTTGATGGTTCAAATATTTTGGAAAGAAAATGAAATAAATGGAAATTTGGTGCTACTTGAAAGAAAACTTCAAGTCTCTTGAGAAAGAGGGCTTGAACTTTAACTAATGAAACTTGGAGATAGTAATTATAAATAACCGAATGCTTTGAGTTGTTTTGCTATATATGTAAATATGTGATCTATATATGTTCTTTGCTTGAGTTGTTATGTGTCTTATTTGCTTTTGTGATTTTGTGACTATACTATGTGCCTTTGTGAAATATGTGGAAATATGTGTACTTATGTGAAAGCTAACTTTGAATATGTGAAATGAAGAATATATACTAACTTCACTTGCACGTTTTTTAAGTTGGAAAATCTTGTAAAACATAGATAGAATAAGCACGGGGTATGAAGGACCGGTACCCCAAAAATGAGATGAAGAGTGTGTGGTTTGGTTCCACTTATGAAATGGGTTCCAAATAAATGAAGGTTTATTTTCTATGGTTTTACTTGATTTTTCAAAGGATATCCGAACGAAAAATGTTTTCTCACACACCTAATCAAATTGCTTGAAATGAATGAAAGTATGTACTAACCTCACTTGCACGTTTTTAAAATTGGAAAGTCTTGTAAAACATAGATCGAATAAGCACGGGGTATGAGGGACCGGTACCCCAAAAAAATGAGATGAAGAGTGTGTGGTTTGATTTCACTTATGAAACGGGTTCCAAATAAATGAAGGCTTATTGTCTATGGTTTTACTTGATTTTTCAAAGGATATCCGAACAAAAATGTTTTTCTCACACATTGTATGAGCACTTGAATGAATGTGTGTGTAAAAGAATGACGACTCCCTTGTAAGGGATTTACTCTTATTCCTTATGAAATGATGAAAGGAAGGTCTAAGAGGTAAAATGAGAAGGTCTAAGAAGTTATCCGAGAAAGTAAG